AAGGTTTATCTGCATATTTATTTGTAGTTGTTTATTTATTATCACTATTTATATATTTATTGAACTTTTTTAGAAACGATTTATATATGTGGAGTCCATACCGGAAGAAGTTATTGCATTACAGAGAAAATCTGTTGTAGAAAATACACATAAATCTACTTTAAATTGGATTAACCAGTTTGAAAAATATCATAAAGATACCAATCTTCCTGGTAAATTATCTAATATTTCAGATTCAAAGCAACTTGAAGAAGAACTTTGTAAATACTTTACTATATATCGCAAGACTAATGGTGATGAATATTCTGTAATATCTTTTCAATCTGCAATTAATGCATTTAATTGGTATTTTAATAGTAAGACAAGCAAAATCAAACCGATTGACTTAAATAATAAGAAAGCACATCCTGATTTTTGGCAAACATTAAATAGAAAAATTAAAACATTGTCTGCAAGTGGATATAAAGAAACTAATGGATCTGATGCTTTAACTATCGATAAAGTTCAAAGAATTTGATCATATCCTCAAACATCAAAGTTGAATTCCAAGGGATTATTAAATAGAGTTTTTTTTTTTAATGCACTTTGTCTTGGTTTGCATAGTGGAAAGTATTTTTTATTAGAGCATATATCTTTTGAAAAAAATATGAGTTTGGGTGAACTCTACAAGGGCAGGAGTAGGTAATAATAGCAGCTTCAGCTCGCAAGTACTCGTTCTCGAACTTGATGTAAGTTATCAAAAGTTTAGGTTAGCCAAATTGTAGGTATGGAAAGCTCTAGCAACAATGCCTCAAGGATAAATTAGTCCTAAGGCTACAGTACGCATCTAGAACTTTTGACTGATGAATATAACGAAGTGTTCTGATGACACAAGGGGCAGTGTACATTACAGAGAATTTAAATAAGTAATCTCCTAGTTGAGTTATAGGTATGGCAGCTAGTGTAGAACCTATGGTGTATAGTTATCTATACGCAGACTACTTAAATAGACACTCAAAAGGTATACGTGTGGCTAGTTGTACTTTCTAATATAATTGGAGTTCTGTTGTAAGCTCCCCACCCATTATACTTAAATAAAAACCTCTATGTCAAAAAGGCTAGTTAATAAAAAAAATATATATATATAATATGAAAGAATGTAAATAAATAAATAAATTTGATTTCTTTTAGCAAAATTCGTACAACTATTCTATTTGTCTGATTTGGTATAATATTGAAATAACAAGCAGATCAATGCTCATTTATTCATAAATGAATTTTAAATATCATGATTCTTTTCTTTATAATTTTTTGAATTATAAAATTATAGTATTATAAAATATGCTACTGAAATTTAATTACTTTATTTATTCATAGAATCTCTTGCAGTATAGATTATATCTATTCTAAATCAATTGATTAATAATATATTTTATTAGTAATATTATCTATATTGTAAAAGATCATATATTTATTGGTCATCTTGTTTATTCTAGCAATTGAAAGCTAAAAATTTAAAATTAAATAATATAGGTCTTGGGCTATCTTTTGATATATTTATTATTATTTTTTTATAAACAATTTTGTTAAGTAATAAATTTTTTAAAAATTATAATTTTTTTAAAAAAAATTAGATTTTAAGCATTTTCACAAGCTATATACAGTATAAAGGTTTGTACTATACAGATACATAGCTGTGCATATTCTGAATATATAGTTAAAATTTTAGCTTAATTGGATCAGTAGTTATTAAAATATAAATTTTTAAATTTTTTAAAATTTTATAGTAAAATTACTATGTAATACAAAGTTGTACAAAAATTACTATAAAAATTTTGTACAACTATTGTAGGATATAGTAATTTTACTATAAAATATTAAAAAACTTTAAAATTTTATATTTTAATAACTACTGATCCAATTAAGCTAAAATTTTAACTGTATATTCAGGATATACACAGCTATACACCTGTATAGTACAAACCTATTACACTGCATATAGCTTGCGAAAATGCTTAAAATCTAATTTTTTTTTAAAAAAAATTATAATTTTTAAAAGAATTTTATAATTTAGAGCGGGTGCGTTGTGATGCACCCATAAGATCCGGTGTAACATGAAATTAAAACAAACAAGCAACACATTAATTTAGGGTAAGGGTTAGCACTAATGGAAGGTTAGATTAGATTGTAGGTAAATGTTAGTTATATTCAAAATTTTGCAAGAAATTTTTTTTGTTAGAACGCAAAAGGTGGTTTCATAAGCAAAATTATGAGTTATAGGCATTTTTTCAAAACATCACTACTTTTTTCGATTTCATGTTACACCTGATCTTACGATCTGATTGGTCGATCAGGTGGGTGCGTTACAACGCACATGCGCTAAATTATAAAACCCATATACTAATTTAATTTATAATAATAACTTTAATTTGGATTTTACAAGGGTTGTATTTTATTTTTTTTCGAAATAAATGTCTATTAAAT